TTTCTAATTAAATGGATTAATAACATTAATAAATGGATTAATAACAAATACATTTGAGGCATTGATTGATATTATGTACTAGTTCAAAGGGTCAACATCTACTTAGCTTTCAGAAACAGTTTGCAGTTTGGCTCAGATGGAGTGTTTTTAGGATGAAATTTCTTTCTGCATTGTTAATATCTGGGTCACTGAAAAATTTCCATCTATTTGAACTTTTAGATTAAAAATAATTTAACAAAGACAAGAATGATGAACTTCTGAGTAGTTCAAATTTACGTTTTCTATTTAGGTCTGTGATCTATTTTGAGTTATTGTTTGTGAAGGGAATAAGGTCTGCATCTAGTTCACTTTTTTGCTATGTGCTTGTCCAATTATCCAGCTCTGTTGAGGTGTTATCTTTACTCCATTGTATTGCTTTTGGTTCTTGGTCAAAGATCAGTTGACCATGTTTACATGGGTCTATTTTTTAGCTCTCTATTCTGTTTCATTGATCTAGTTTATATTCTTATGCCAATATCACAAATGTCTGGGTTACTGTTATTTTTTTAATAAGTCTTGAAGTTGGGTAGAGTCAGTCCTCCAACTTTGTTCTTATCCTTCAGAATTGTGTTATCTCAGTATTTAGACTCTCCGTGTTGACTTGGAGTCAGTTTGTCAGTATTAGTAAAATGACTTACTGAGATTTTTATTAGAATTGCATGAAATCTATATGTTATCTTGGGAAGAACTGAGGTTTTAACAGAAGTGAGTTTTCCTATCTATTATCATGGAATATTTCTCCAATTATTTGTTCCTCAATTGTGCGGATAGGAGTTTTGTAGTTTTCCTCATATAAATCTTACACACATTTTGTTAGATTTACATGTATTTCATTTTTGAGGATGCTAATAAAAAATGGTATTGTGCTTTTAGTTTCAAATTCTTCCTGTTCATTACTGGTGTATAGGAAAGCAGTAGACTTTTGAGTGTTAATCTTGTGTCCTGCAATCTTGCTATAATCACTTATTATGATAGTTTCAAGAGTTTTTCCATTGATTCTTTCATATATTTTACATAGATATTCATATCTTCTATAAACAAAGACAGTTTATCTTTCTTTCCAATCTTTATACTTTTACTTCCTTTTCTTGTCTTACTGCATTAAGTAGAGCTTCCAGTATGATGTTGAAAAGCCTTGTGAGAAGACATCCTTGCCTTGTACCTGATCTTAGTAGGAATGCCACAAGGTTCTCACTGTTAAGTATGATGTTTTGGTTAAGCTGTATGTTTGTGGTAGATTCTCTCTTTCAAGGTGAGGAATTTTCTTTCTATTATAGGTTTACTGAGAGATTTTTTAAAAATTATAAATTGGTATTGAATTTTGTCAAATGCTTTTTCTGCATCTATTGATGTTCCATTTAGCATTCATAATCATTTTCCTGAGACTGGCATTTTGCTATGTCTACTTTACAGATGAGAAAATTAAGCCTCAACAATGAAGTAACTTTCTAGTAATTCCCACATATCTGGTGAAACCAGCATTAAACCTACAGTTGTTTGACCTGCTCTCCAACATGCTGCCTCCCAGTGCTTACTGTCAAATCTGACTCTTTGTCTCTGAAATAGTAGGACGACAGATTCTCTCACTGTGAAGCTCACCAAATTACACAGCCTACCAGTATTAAACTACACAGTTATTTGGAATACAGATGGTTCTCATCATTGTCAGATTTGTATTTGTGAATTTGCCTACTTGCTAAAATTTATTTGGGTCCCCAAAATCAAAGCTCAAGTCACCTTCATGATCATTCACAGACATGTCAGTCGGTCAGTCAGTTCAGTCACTCAGTCATGTCTGACTCTTTGTGACCCCATGGACTGCAGCACGCCAGGCCTCCCTGTCCATCACTGACTCCCGGAGGTTACCCAAACTCATGCCCATGGATTCAGTGATGCATTCCAACCATCTCATCCTCTGTTGTCCCCTTCTCCTCCTGCTCAATCCCTCCCAGCATCAGGGTCTTTTCAAATGAGTCAACTCTTTGCATCAGGTGGCCAAAATATTGGAGTTTCAGCTTCAGCATCAGTCCTTCCAATGACACCCAGGACTGATCTCGTTTAGGATGGACTGGTTGGATCTCCTTGCAGTCCAAGGGACTCTCAAGAATCTTTTCCAACACCACAGTTCAAAAGTATCAATTTTTCGGTGCTCAGCTTTCTTCACAGTCCAACTCTCACATCCATACATGACCACTGGAAAAACCATAGCCTTGACTAGATGGACCTTTGTTGGCAGTGTCTCTGCTTTTTAATATGCTGTCTAGGTTGGTTATAACTTTGCTTCCAAGGAGTAAGCAATTTTTAATTTCATGTCTGCAATCACCATCTGCAATGATTTTGGAGCCCATAAAAATAAAGTATCTCACTGTTTCCACTGTTTCCCCATCTATTTGTCATGAAGTGGTGTGAGCAGATGCCATGATCTTAGTTTTCTGAGTGTTGAGCTTTAAGCCAATCTTTTCATTCTCCTCTTTTACTTTCATCAAGAGGCTTTTTAGTTCCTCGTCACTTTCTGCCATAAGGGTGGTGTCATCTGCATATCTGAGGTTACTGATATTTCCTGGCAATCTTGATTCCAGCTTGTGCTTCCTCTAGCCCAGCGTTTCTCATGATGTACTCTGCATATAAGTTAAATAAGCAGGGTGACAATATACAGCCTTGATGTACTCCTTTTCCTATTTGGAAACAGTCTGTTGTTCCATGTCCAGTTCTAACTGTTGCTTCCTGACCTGCATACAGATTTCTCAAGAGGCAGGTCAGGTAGTCTGATAGTCCCTTCTCTTTAAGAATTTTCCACAGTTTATTATGATCCACACAGTCAAAGGCTTTGGCATAGTCAATAAAACAGAAGTCGATGTTTTTCTGGAACTCTTTTGCTTTTTTGATGATCCAGCGAATGTTGGCAATTTGATCTCTCATTCCTCTGCCTTTTCTAAAACTAGGTTGAATATCTGGAAGTTCATAGTTCACGTACTATAGAAGCCTGGCTTGGAGAATTTTGAGCATTACTTTATTCCTGTGTGAGATGAGTGCAATTGTGCAGTGGTTTGAGCATTCTTTGGCATTGCCTTTCTTTGGGATTAGAATGAAAACTGACCTTTTCCAGTCCTTTGGCCACTGCTGAGTTTTCCAAATTTGCTGGCATGTTGAGTGCAGCCCTTTCACAGCATCATCTTTCAGGATTTGAAATAGCTCAACTGGAATTCCATCACCTCCACTAACTTTGTTCATAGTGATGCTTCCTAAGGCCCACTTCAGTTCACATTCCAGGATGTCTGGTTCTAGGTGAGTGATCACACCATCGTGCTTATCTGGGTCGTGAAGATCTTTTTTGTACAGTTCTTCTGTGTATTCTTGCCACCTCTTCTTAATATCTTCTGCTTCTCTTAGGTCCATATCATTTCTGTCTTTTTTTGCATGAAATGTTCCCTTGGTATCTCTAATTTTCTTGAAGAGATCTCTAGCCTTTCCCATTCTATTGTTTTCCTCTATTTCTTTGCACTGACCATGGAGGAAGGCTTTCTGATCTCTCCTTGCTGTTTGGAACTGTGCATTCACGGCCATGTACAGAATGTCAAAAAGTTGCAGTCTTCCAGTGCGTCTGTTTCATGCTGAGGTCAAACTTGATGACACCCCGCCTTCTTTTATTTTTTAATTTATTTACTCTAATTGAAGGATAACTGCTTTACAATGTTGTGTTGGTTTCCTCCATACATCTACATGAATCAGCCACAGTTATACATATGTCTCCTCCCTCTTGAACTTCCTTCCCATCTCCCACTCCATCCCACCCGTCTAGGTTGTCATGGAGAACCAGGTTGAGCATCCTGTATTATACAGCCCCTCCCCATTAGCTATCTATTTTACGCACACACTTCACCTTCTTATTCCCGTTCTTGCACTATAAACAGGTGTTCTACTTGTGCTCCACGTAGTGTAAGGTTTTTGCATTTTGAGCTTGTTTTTTTTTTTTTTTGGTGATTTTCACTTTTTAAAATGGCTCCCCAAGTGTAGTGTAAAGTTCTGTCTAAATGCAAGAAGGCTGTGCTGTGCCTTTTGGAGAAAATACATGTCTTAGATAAGCTCCATTCAGTCATAAGTTATAGTGCTGTTGGCTATGAATTCAATGTTAGAATTAATATATATTCAAATGTCTTTCAATGGAAACAGACATAAAACAAAATTATGATTTGATCAGTTGATGAAAATATTGTGACCAGAGGCTCACAGAAACCTAACTGTGTCTTTCCATAAAAGCAATCTTTCAGTATCTGCTAATTTTGTGTTTGTAGAACATATAACCATTATAGTGCATAACTATCATGAATAACCAAAATCAACTTATAAGGTTTCACTGTTTTTGTACTTGTGGGTTCATATAGGTGACTTCTTGCTCTTGGATTAAAGTGTCCTGTGATACCATTTTACTGGCAACGCTAAACTCTCCTCAGGGATCCATCTATTTTCTCTAAACTACTGTATTCATTTCCTACTGATGCTATGACAAATTACCACAAACTTAGTACCATAAAACTCATACCTGTATTATTTTACAGTTCTACAGGTCAGAATTCCAAAATGGATTTTCCAGGGCTAATATCAAGGTGTGGCCAAGATGGTCTTCCTTCTGGAGGCCCTCTGATTCCTTGCCTTGTCCCGCTTTTAGAGGTCACCTCCATGCCTTGGTTCATAGTCCTGTGTCGCTCTCACCTCTGCATCCATCGTCATATCAGATCTCTGACTTTCCTGCTTCCCTCTGCCAATTACAAGGACATCTGTGATTGAGGGTGTCAGCTTGCAGATCTGTCAATTATTTGCTCCACAGCCCAAATTTACTTCGGTGTAACAATGGTGTAACAAGGTATTTTTTTGCATCTTGAAAGAATTGTTGATGAGATTCACCTTTGAGGGTATCACAGTGGTCTCTTTCACTGATGTCTTATTTTTGTTCTTGTTTCTAGCCCTCGGAGCCCAGTCAAACCATTTGTATGTCCAGAGAAGAGTTTGTGCAGAGAATGACAGAGACTGTTGGCTGGGGCACAAAGGAAGAATATGGAGAGCTCTTTGATAAAGTGGATGTGGCCCAAGAGGGCTTCATCAATTGGGACAAGCTGACTTCGTTTCTGCTGTTAACACTTTATGAGAAAGATGAACAAGCAAAGGCAACTGTAGTTCCCCAGTGGAGAGACCTTGAATTTCTCCCAGTGAAACACAAAGATAACATCCAAAGAGTAATTTTCTTAAGAAGTTCAAGGCGTTATCTGACCATCAGTAAGGAAGGTTCAGTAGGAATCTGGGGAGAGAATTTAAAGCTGCAAAAAACACTTCCCATCACTTCAGATGCCACCAAGCTAAAGCACCTGTGGGTGACAAGTATGGTTTCTCTGGAAAATGTAAACAAGGTACAGAGTCTGTATAAATAAATTTATTGCTTGTAAAAGGGAGGAAATGATGAGACAGGACTCCTGATAAATAGCAAGTGTAAAACTAGCAGTGATAGAGAACCGCATTATTCTTCCATACCTTTAATCTGACCTGGAGGGAGCACAAGTCAAGCTAAGTGAATTATTCCATCTTCCAAACTATTCTGTTGTGTGCCTTTAAATGACAAAACTGGTGGTGACTCAGATTCTTGGCTCTGTCCCACATGAGGTCAGGGTGCATTACTAGCTGATAAGACCTTTATGCCTCTGTAGTTTTTAGCAATCTGAAAGTATATACATTTATATGCAGAGTTGAGAGGCTGTACAAGTGCAAGGCACAGATCAGAAAATTTCAGGAAACCTGCAATTTCAGGAAACTGCTTATCTGATTTTGACTGCTGGATTAGTCAGTTTCTTAATTTTGATGGGTAGAACCCATTCAGTCCAGATACCCTCATGTAACCATACCTATGAGGAAGATAACATACTGAAAGGAAAGTCAGTTTCTGAGGGAATAATGCAGCTTAAAAAATCCATATTCTTATTATATTACATTAAGCAGATGGTAAATTTTACTATGAAAAAATTAAAGTGCACACACAAGCAGAGATAATCCCATTAAGAGCCAATATTCACCCTTAACCATTTCCAATTTACAGCCCTCCTGTTCCTTCTGCATCTCCCTTTTATACTGAAATCTAAAATTCCAATCATTTAATCTGTAAATACTTCAGTATTTCTGAAAAATATCTCTTTAGCACAACCATAATACCATATCACATTTATATCAATAACAATAATTCCTTAATATAATCAAATATCCAGTCATAAACATATTTCCTTGTCTTATGATTTTTTAATAGTTTGCTGTTTGTTTTGATAGTTTGAGTCAAGATATGAATAAGGTCCAAACATTATGAATGGTTGATATGTCTTTTTTGATTCACACGTTTTCCTCCATCTCATTTTTGTTTTGTATTATGTTGTCAGTGCTATTGCTGTTCTTCAAGAAGCTAGGTGTTTGTCCTTTAGAATTTCTTACAGTCTAAATTTCTCAGACTGTTTGCATGGGGTTGTTTAACATGGCCACTTGCTCTCTGTGTTTCCAGTAAATTGGTCCTCAAGTCAAAAGCCTTGATCGTCTGTATATTTTAGAAGAAGTGTTCCTCAGTCAGAGGGCACAAAATGCCTGGTCCTTTCTCTTCTTGGGATGTTAATAGATGTTATGGATTATTCTTAGATACGTCAATTTATCAGGAGTTGCAAGATGGTGATATTCTAATTTCATCATCTCCTCTTTCTTTATAAGCTGGAATACCTCTATAAAATAAAGAAACTCCCCGTCATTAGCTACTGTGTAATACAAATTGGAAAAGACCCTGATGCTAGGAGGGATTGGGGGTAGGAGGAGAAGGGGATGACAGAGGATGAGATGGCTGGATGGCATCACCGACTTGATGGGCATGAGTTTGAGTAAGCTCTGGGAGTTGGTGATGGACAGGGAGGCCTGGCGTGCTGCGATTCTTGGGGTCGCAAAGAGTCGGACACGACTGAGTGACTGAATTGAACTGAGCTGAATACAAATTGTTAACGAAAGAGGAATAAATGTCCAGGTCTTTCCTTTTATTTACCAGTATTCAAAATAATTAGATAGTTTTCTAATTAGATGAAAAATGAGTGCTATATCATTATTGTTATCAATATCATTATAAACTCATGGGTTTAAACAAACTTGATATGTCTTAATCCACTGAGTTATTATCCTGCCCCCCTAAATTATAGCATCTTTGGACAATGGAACTAGTACAAGTTAGCTGGAGTCTTTTCTGATATAACCCTATCTGTCTTTCAAAGCTTCCTCGTTTCCTGGGTAGATTAGACATTCCAGGATCATCTTGTGTATTTATTAAGCCAGACCCAGAAGCAGCCATTTGAATGGCTCCAAAGAGCCAGATTCTTTCAAGTGGGGAATACTATGTTCTACTGCCAAGAGCCATTAAAAAATAATCATCATGAACATTAGCTTTCTATGTGACATGCCTTGCTTTGTTAATCATCTCCAGATCACCTTGTTGTTCAGTCACAAAGTGGTCTCTGACTCTTTGTGACCCTATGGACACAGCTTGCCAGGTTTCCCTGTCCTTCATTATCTCTCGGAGTTTGTTCAAATGAATTTTCATTGATTCCATGATGCCGTCCAACCACCTCATCCTCTGTCACCCCCTTCTTCTCTTGCCCTCAATCTGTCCCAGCATCAGGGTCTTTTCCAATGAGTATACCCTTGGCATCAGGTGGCCAAAGTGTTGGAGCTTCAGCTTCAGTCCTTCCAATGAATAATCAGTTTCAAGGGGATTTATTCCCAATTTAAGAAAGAGAGACTGGGCAAGGAGAGCTTGTGATATGTGCCCCGTGTCACACAGGATGCAATCAGAGTTGCAAGATTTGTAAACCAAGGCAGCTTGATTTCTGAACCTGTGCTTTAGAACCTTTGCTGTGTCCCTAGTGGCAGCTGATGTCATATCCAATTCTTTCTTGCTAAGGATCTGATGTTAATGTTTAGCTTCTGTGGATTATTAACATGTTTCTAGTTTATACTTTTTTTGGTATGTGTGTGTAGCATTCTGTGCGGGCGTGTACACTAAGTTGCTTCAGTCATGAAGGAACTCTTTTTCAATCCTATGGACTGTAGCCTGCCAGGCTCCTCTCTCCCTGGGATTCTCCAGGCAGGAATACTGGTGTGAGTTGCTATGCCCTCCTTCAGGGAATCTTCCCAACCCAGGGATCGAACCCACATCTCTTACATCTCCTGCATTGACTGGGTTCTTTATCACTAGCGCCACCTTGGAAGCCCTTGTAACATTCTGTATTATCATGTAATGTTTGTGTTGGTATCAGGTAATGACTATGTTGCACTGTTTCTGCTTTCCAGGACTGATAATTAAATATTAGCCTTTCCTTTGTTTTTACCCAGCATTAACGTTTATATTTTTTTCTTCTTTTTTAATCAGCTTTGTTTAGGTGTGATTATAAAAAATCCACTGCATATATTAAAAGTATCCAAGTTGACAGATTTTAAAATATGTTTATAGCTGTGAAAAATCAATATTATGATGAAGATAATGAACGCATTTTTTCACCCTCAGATTTTCCTTGAGTTGTTTTGTAATCCTTCATCCAGCCCTGCCCTTCCTTACTTGTCAAGTAACCACTGATATGCTTTCTGTCACTATAGTTTGCATTTTCTCATCTGTTCACATTATACAGTATATAAACTTTTCTTTTTTGGTTTGGCTTCTTTAACATAATTAGCATAATTATTTTGAGATTCATCTATGCTGTTGGATATATGAGAAATTTATCTTTTATGGTTGTGTAATATTTCACTTTTGATATAACGTATCCTCACCAATACTTGGTATGATGAAGTTTTTTTCCCTTAATTTTAGCCCTTTGAGTAGGTTTGTATTTTATCTTATCGAGGTGTGATCTCACTTTTCCCTAATGAGTAATAATGTTGAGCATATTTTCACGTGCTTGTTTGCCACCTATATATCCTCTTCAGTGAAGTGTTTGTTCAAATTCTTTGACCATTTTTATTGGGTTTACTTTGTTATTATTGAGTTTTGAGAATTCTGTATATATTCTATGTATGTTCAATTATGTGATAGATAATTTAAAAATATTGTATCCCAGTTAGTGCTTTTTCTTCTTGTTCTATTAAGATCCTCTTTGATAATTTCATTTTCAGATTGTCCATTGCTAGTGAATATAAATAGGTTTATAAAAGTGATCTTATACCCTGCAACTTTGCTGAATTCATTTATTAATTTTAATTGGTTTTGCTGTTGTTTATTTTTCTTGCCTAATTTCCCTGGATAGAAATTTTAGCACAGCATTGAGTAGAAGTGGCAAGAGTGAACATCTTTGTTTTATTTCTGATCTTAGGGAGAATATATTCAGTTTTTCACCATCAAGTATAATATCAGCTGTAGATTTTTCCTTTCTTGTACATTCTCTTTATCAAGTTTCTTTCTATTCCTGATTTGTTGAATATTTTTATCATGAAAATGCATAGGGTTTTGTAAAATGCTTTTTTGCAGATATTGAGATGATAATATAGCCTTTCTCCTTCATTCTTTTAATATGGTATATTACATTAGTTGATATTTGTATGTTAAACTAACCTGGCATTCCTGGTGTTGGGAATAACATGTATATCAGAAGGATCTCAGATGAACTGAGTAACTCACCAAAATGTCCAAAGCCCTCACCTTAAATACCATCTTTGTTGTTGATGTTATTTGGTTGTTAAGTTGTGTATGACTCTTTGCAACCCCATGGACTGCAGCATGTCAGACCTCCTTGTCCTTCACTATCTCCCAGAGTTTGCTCAAACTTATACTCATTGAGTCAGTGAAACAATCCAACCCTCTCATCCTCTGTCAGCCCCTTCTCCTCCTGTCTTCAATCTTTCTGAGTATTAGAGTCTTTTCCTATGAGTCAACTCTTCCTATCAGGTGGCCGAAGTATTGGAGCTTCAGCCTCAGCATCAGTCCTTCCAATGAATATTCAGGGCTGATTTTCTTTAGGATTGACTGATCACCTTGCAGTCCAAGGGACTCTCAAGAGTCTTTTCCAGCAACACGTTCAAAAGCATCAACTCTTTAGCACTCAACTCAGCCTTCTTTATGGTCCAACTCACATCTATATAGTGGAAAAACAATATCTTAGATCATACAGACCTCTGTCAGCAAAGTGATGTCTCTGCTTTTTAATATGTTGTCTAGGTGGTTAAAAATACCATCTTTAGGAAAGACAGAAGAGGGTGTTGGAGTGGTGGTTTGGTATTTCAAAGGGATAAAGACAATTTACATGAAGATGGAAAAGCAAATTTTTGATGTACAAGGGTTTGCTGGGCCATACAGTGATGCTGGGACCTGGAGTAACTCTGATCTCTAGACCCTGAGTCTCTGCCACCACACACACCTAGCCCATGGTCTTTGCAGATATCTCTGGTGATACCTCTGTTCTGGTTTTTGTTGTTGTTCAGTAGCTCAGTCATGTCCGACTCTTTGCAACCCCGTGGACTGCAGCATGCCAGGCTTCCCTGTCCTTCACCATCTCCTGGAGCTTGCTCAAACTCATGTCCACTGAGTCAGTGATGCCATCCAACCATATCATCCTCTGTCGCCCCTTCTCCTCCTGCCCTCAATTTTTCCAACATCAGAGTCTTTTTCAGTCAGTTGATTCTTTGCATCAAGTGGCCAAAGTACTGGAGCTTCACCTTCAGCATCAATCCTTCCAAAAAATATTCAGGATTGATTTCCTTTAGGATTGACTAGTTTGATCTCCTTGCAGTCCAAAGAACTCTCAAGAGTCTTTTCCAACACTACAGTTCAAAAGCATCAATTCTTTGGCACTCAGCTTTCTTTAAGGTCTAACACTCACATCCATCCATGACTACTGGAAAAAACCATAGTTTTGACTCGTATGGACCTTTGTCAGCAAAGTAATGTCTCTGCTTTTTAAAACACTATCTAGGTTTTTGATAGCTTTTCTTCCAAGGAGCAAGCGTCTTTTCATTTCATGGCTGCACTCAACATCTGCAAAGATTTTGGAGCCCAAGAAAATAAAGTCTGTCACTGTTTCCATTTTTCCCCATCCATTTTCCATGAAGTGATGGGACTGGATGATTTGCATGTCTGCTTTTCATTTTCATTTCACTAATCCATCAGAAATGTTTTCTGATTTTATGTTTTGTTACTTTAGATAGCAGTGGCTTTTACAAGTAAAGAGATTTGTTTCTATGATCTACTGTCCAAAGAAGAATTTCCTTGTCAATATAAACTCCAAGGCCTGAAAGGAACACCAATTTGTATGGATTATTGGTACAACCCTCTTGATGCCAATGAGTCAATTCTTTCTTTTGGGGACATAACTGGAAAGGTAAGTGAGGGGAGGATAAGGTTGAACATTATGGATACAATCATCAAACTATAGCTCAAACTAGAAATAGAGTGCAATGAATGTGACCTCCTAATTGAACCACTTTATAGATTACAAGGTCACATACCATGGACATGAAAAAGATGGACTAGGTCATAGTTTCTTTTCTTGCCTATGAAAACCAATCTTCACTGTGGTTTTCTTGCCTAGGTATAGACTCATTTTCTTTATTTAGGAAAAAGTATTTGCTAACTTTTTCACCATAGGATGCTTAATCTATTAGATCCCAATGTTAATCAACATAAATGTTAAATGTCTAAAGTTATGTCTCACAACTGTTTCATATTGATTATTCAGATTTTTATTCATAAGGTTTCAGGCTTCTCAATAGTGGGCTCCGGGGACATGCTTATTTCCTATCTCAAGTGACAAAGGAATAGATGCATTAAAGAGAGCAGCACCAAAAAAAAAAAAAAAAAGAGAGAGAGAGAGAAGCACCAGACCTCAGACTGCATACAGTGATTTCTGTTTTTCCATCAAATTCTACGACTCTGAAAAATGATTTTTTAAATGAATGACATAGACATAGAATATGTCTATGAATGCTGAAATAGCCTAATTTGAACAGTGTCATTTCATAATTATGTAAGTTTTTCATCCTTACTGTTTTCAATGACAAATATATCATAAAAGCAAACAAATAAATGCCCTTGGTAATTGCCTTAGCAACCTCGTAGTGTCATGCCTTTCAGTATAACTGCTTGTGACCTTTAAATAATATTAAATAAATACCTGTTTGTTCAATATCTATTCCTTATTAATCTTAAAAGATACAGAATCTTCTTTCAACAATCACCCTATGCTTATTTATTTTTCTTGCAATGTCCCTCTCAAGGTTCAAGTAATTGCTTTCACAACAGCCTTGATTTCCCTTTTTGAGCATCCTGCTGGTGCATGTGAAGATGAAGAAGCTACAGTGACCATTAACTGGGCAGATCTGCGCCCTGGACATCACAAATGTTGCTATACGTTAGGGCACAAACTTCATCATGGAGATTGGGTCAGACAAGGTACTGAACTTAAACAGCAATGAAAGAAACAGTTACCTTAGCCTTCTACAGTTGTATTTTTTCATGAAAATATTTCACATATAGTGTTCAAGTCTAGAAACTAATAATTGACTCCCAGGAGGTTCTGACCTGAACTCTGCTATCCCCTACACGCTAGCAGGAATTACTTCTTTCTTTCTAAAATTTATCCCTCATACAATTAATTCAGATGGACTGTGCAGTTAAGAAATCTCAAGAGAGAGGAGAAAATTATCACAGAATCCATTTAACTTCACCCCAACTCTGATCCTAACTAATTTTGTGTAGTCACATTTGGGTCTACTTAATAAAAGAATTTAACAAGAGCCCTTAAAACACTCCCTTGCTTTCTTTATATTCTCATGGGAGGTGTATGAGTTTGACTGTCTTCAAAATGGAATCTTCTTAATTTTCTTTTCTTATTTCTCTTTTTCTGTATAATGACTGAACTGCTGTGATCTAGAGTGCTTGAGGGGCAGTTCTCTGTGAGATAGGATTATATTATAAAACAGTATCTATGGAAGGTCAGGACTTTTTAAAAACCTAGTCAACAATGAGTTTGCTAATTTTGTATTATGCCTAATTTTTATGAAATTTGCATCTGATGGTTTAAGATCCAAATGTGCAGTACCTGCTCTGATATCTGTTTTGGTCCAGACACTAAGACTATGGTATTTTTCTCACTTCAAAACTATTACATAAACAATACCCACTGAAAAGAATGGATCAGTCTCATTGTTATATGGCAGGTATATTCTTAATGTAGTTTGAAGAAGAGATAGTCAAAATGGACCCAACAGTTGGTTAGTGTGAAAGCTTTACCCTCTTTGAGTTGTAGGAGTTTGGAACTAGCTCTTTAATGCATGACCCATGATAATAATATCCCACATGATGAACTATAAGTTCTGCAATTTTTTCTTCAGTGTGAATCATGCCATGCCTTTTGTAATTTCTGTGCTGTGTTATGTTTGGTCGCTCAGTCATGTGTGACTCTTTGTGACCCTATGGATGGTAGCCCAGCAGGCTCCTCTGTCCATGGGGATACTCCAGGCAAGAATAGTAGAGTGGCTAGCCATGCCCTCCTCCTCCAGGGGGTCTTCCCAACCCAGCAATCAAATTGGGGTCTCCTGCATTGGAGGCAGATTCTTTAACAGCAGAGCTACCTGGGAAGCCCTTTGTACTTTCTACCTATCTCTTAATTCTTGAATGATATTAATCATGGGGAAGCAAAAAATAAAACTTTTGGTCATCCACTATGTGTGACAGGCACAAAATTCTGTGTTATGTTTTCATAACATGTAAACAAGTAAGTACTAGAAAGTGAAGAGAGTACTTGAAAGTGATGGAAGGAGTTCCAGCTGATCCAAACAAGTATGATATTTTCATATATAAACTAAAGACTTAATATTTTTTGTGCTTTAAAACTGTCTTAGGCATTGGAGGCAATTGAAGAAAGATAAATTATAGGCTTATGTCAAAAAACTTAATATACAAATAAGAATGAAAGACTAATATAAAAGAATGTGTTTAAACATTGTACAATGGTACTGAAAATTAACTACTAAGTCATATAAACAAGATTTTGACTCTTTTGGAATTTGTAAGCAGGAAAAGACATGAGGAAAAGCTTCAGGGGTGAGTGGTGGTAGTTGAAGGATAAATGAGGGGAGAGGAAGACAGCACAGTGAACATGAGTAAATATAGGCAAGCAGGCATAGTAATGGAGGCAGAGATGGACATGAATACATTAGAAATGGAGTATTAAGAAAATAACAATGCCAAGGTCTAACAGGGATGTCTATTGGAAGATCTTGGCAACCAGACCAAGTTCACATTTAACAGAAAAATGGAACAGTGAAGCCCGGAAGGTTTTTGAGGAAATCTGTGCAGACTTGATATAGATAGTGTTTAGGAAAAGTTTATGTAGTAGTTTTGTCCAGCATAGATTGTAGGACAGAGAAAGAAACTGCAATCAAATTGGCTAGTTGTGATCATGAGAAAATGGAAATGATAAATCCAGGAGAGAAACAAGCAGCCTTTTGAAATGGGATCTTCAGAACTCAAAGTGTGAAATGTGGAGTGATGAGCAATATTAGAGTATCTTATAATGACTTTGATTCCCAAGTAGGGAAATGTTCTTTTTACAGATGACAGATGCTCTCTGGGGGCCAATGCTTGGACTCTCCCTAGCTCACTTTCTCAATGTGGACTACTTCTGAAGGAGTCTTTATTCTGAGATATTCTAGATCTGCCACCAGAGAAGAATCTGCCTTGCCAGTATTGTTACTGAAACTTCTCTTCCCTTTGCCAAGCATCAGGTTTGTCTCTTCAGCCATCAAGTGCAGGTGGACGCTTCCTGTGTAATTTGCAAACTCCTCAATTCTGGCTTTGCTCCTAGGTTCCTACAAATTTCTGTTCTCACGTCAGAATCTTGATTCTGTCATAACCTTCCTAATCCCAGCAGGAAGTTTGGATGCCTGACATGCAAATCACATTTATACAGACACTGAAAATTAAAACACCGTTTTTAGGGCAGGAAATATGTCTTTTATTCTCGTTAAGTTCCACTATAGCACATAGTATAATGTTCATATGGTCTTTCCATTTCTTGCTGATTTTAAGCAATCTTATTGTAATGTGCTTTAGTTTTTTTGGTGTGTGTGTGTGTTTATGCTGTTTAGAATTCACTGAGATTCTTGGATATGTGGATTTAGAATACTCTTTAATTTGAAAATGTTTCTATTGTTATTTTTTCCAAAGGTTTCTGTTTCTCTCTTTTTTTTTCCCCCAAGGAACTTCCATTATTTATATGTAAGATGCTTGATATTGTCCTACAAGTTATGGAGGCTTTTTCATTTTTATTCAACTATTTTTTAAAAGATAACTATGCTTTAGGTTTTGTGTGTGTGTGTGTGTGTGTGTGTTCAGTTGCATTTGACTCTGCAACCCCATGGACTGTAGCCCACCAGGCTTCTCTGTTCATGGAATTTTCCAGGTAAGAATACCAGAGTGGGTTGCCATGCCCTCCTCTAGGGGATCTTCCTGACCCTGGGATTGAACTTATGTCTCCTGGATTGACAGGCTGGTTCTTTACCACTGTGCCACCTGAGGAACCCATGCTTTAGTTGAGCTAGGTTCTATTACTCTGCCTTCAGATTCCTGGATCTTTGTGTCTTGAGATATTGCAGAGTGGTCTCAAAGGGTGAGTGAGGCTGCCTCTGTGGTTCAGGTGAGCCAGCATGCCCTGGCCTAATGCGTTGGTGGGGGGAGCCTGGCGGAGACCTGGTGTAGGCTGCATCCAGTGCAGCCCTGACCCGAGTGGAGCCACCTTAGAGAGCTGTGGCATGGGTGGGGCCACTGTGTTGGCATGGGCAGTAACTTCGAGGGTGACATTGCTGTCCCAGTGGGTCTGGAAGGCAGATAATCAGGCCAAGAGGGTTATTCTTGAGCCGTAATGTTTAATGGAGTTTTCCTTGTTAGGTTTTGTATTTACTTGAGACCTATTACTTCCTTTTTCCTCTCTTTTGGAATAGAAATGCTTATCACATGCCTGTTCTACCACTTTATTTTGGAAGCATAGAACTTACTTGGTTCCACAAGTTCATAGCTTGGAGAAGGATTTGCCTCAGGATGGGTTGATTGTATCCTGAGTCCTACCTAAGTCTGATTTAGATATTTAGATGAGATTTGAACTTAAGACTTTAATGTTGTTGGAATGAGTTAAGACTTTCAGCACTGTTGAGATGTATTTCACATGTGATAAGGACATGAATTGGGGGAGAGGGCTAGGGGAAGAATGTATGGAATGAAGTTTTGTGTCCCCTCCCCCCAAATTCATATGTTGAAGTCCTAATCCCAATCCTCCCTCCTTATGTTGTGCCTTTGGGAGATGATTAAATCATGAAGGTGTAGCTCTCATGAATAAGATTTATTGTTGTTCAGTCATTAAGTCATGTCCAGCTCTTGTGACCCCATGGACTGTAGCCTGCCTGGCTCCTGTGTCCATGGGATTCTCCAGACAAGAATACTGGAGTGGATTGCCATTGCCTGCTCCAGGGTCTCTTCCTGACCCAGGAATCGATCCTGTGTGTCCTCCACTGGCAGGTGGGACAGGTCTCTTTACTGCTGAGGCACCAGGACAGCCCTGTGAATAGGGCTAGTGCCCTGATAAAAGAGACCCCAGAGGATTCTCTCACTCTTCCCCATGTGAGGGCCCAGTGAGAAGAGCGCATCTGTGAACTGAAAAGTGGACCCTAACCAGACACCGAATCTGTCAGGACCTTGCTCCTGGATGTCCTAGCCTCCCGAACTGTGGGAGGTAAACATTTGTTGTTTACATTACTAGGTCTCTACATTTTCTTATAGCAGCCTGGACTAAGACATTGGGCAAATATTATTAAAAATATTTCAAAAGAAAAGAGAAACCAAGAGAAATCTTGCTAAATATTGGTAAGCTTCTTTTTTTAAGAGGGATAGTTTATAGTAAAAAGAAAAAGGTCAAAGTGAGAAAAATACATTTACCAATAATGTGTAGTTTAATACTCTGCAAATGGCTATTGAGGAAAATGTGGTACAAGAGACGATCACTGAAAAAGAACAAAGTAGAATGAGTGGAAAGGTGAAGTATCTATAGAAGATTCTCTTCTTTCAAAGTTGAGATTTGAAGCTCAGGTACCTCTGAAAGGGGATCCGCTTCAGTTTAAGGCTATGGATGACTGCCTTTCCCCAGGTTTAGTCACTGGGACTTGAAGCTTAACTACAACTGTTTCTTGGCTTCTTTATAACTCAGGTGTTTCAGGATGAGGTGGAGGGAGGAAGGCTGAAATGAGGAGGCAGGAACAAGAGGAAAGCGGGCTGGAATCAAACATAGGACGGTGGTCTTAGTAGCGATTATGCTCCTTGGTCTGCGAGCCTTTCTTTGTCAGGAGCAAGCAAACACTGGTTGCTTTCATGTGAGGCTTTTTTTTGACCCTAGCAACATG